GCAATTCACAGCCATTTTGAAAACCTAACCCCCGCGAATTTGGTGGGTCCCTCTGTAATCTTCCATCATATCTCCAGCAGTCTTCCCTATCCATTAACTTTAGTAGGTTAGGTTAGGCAGGGAAAGTTGATAAACTTGACCACCCCTGGCTCTCTTCCTTTCCACATTTAGACTTGTGCATCTCTTGACCTAACTGGTTTCCACCCTCCGCTCCATATACCTACGCCATATCTACCCATCTCTATGCAAAACTTTGTCAATATCCATCCACCTTCTTAGCTCTGAACAGGGCCTACTGTACTGTCTTACACCCTGGTTATGGCCTTGAGTACAGATATGTTCAATTAAGAGTTTAGCTATTAATAACAATGGACTTACCATACAGCAGCAGGTGAAGTTTGTGTCCATCTCAGGTTAACTTCAGTTGGCTGGTTATGTTGATGATGCCACTTGGTGATGGTAGTAAAGTATTCTTCCCAGTGTCTACAGTGTCATACCTTCTGGTCCACTGCCTCGGGAAGATGTTGCATCATGTCACCTGCAAATGGGGATTCTTTCTTCAGTATGTTAATAAAGAATGGCAAAATAACCTATTCATAATGGACGAGTTGACGGTTCTGGGTAAAGACAAGAAATAAACTCTGCCACATTCGTAGCAAGAAAAGATGCAGGGGGCAGTGTAAATGTGTGAAGGCTGCTCTACAGTGTACTGCTCTATGCCTGTGTGGAGGCCTATGCGACCGAGCACACAGTGATATCCCCGTTAGCCGACACAATTGGTGCAGAGCACTTCCGGGGATGAGAGATTTCTGGGCGACGAGACGACTTTCTCAAACCCGGAAAAACTCCTTTTCCCCAGAACCTTTTCCGGTTACTGGGAAAAGTTTCAGTGTCTAAACTAAACATCCTGCACAGACAGACACTCGCCCACTTCCCCAGAATGTTTCTGGGTGCTTGTGAAGTTTTCCTCGAGCCTGAACTACCGGAATCCATTAATGCAGTTCTAATTAAGTTAGAAACTTCATTTCTTTACTATAATAATCCAAAGTAGTTTATCTAAAAGCTATCAGACTTCCGGGTTTGAAAGATCCCAGCTAACGGAGAAATTACTGTTGGTCAATCTTGTATAGTAATGCAAAATTATGAACTGATTATTGGAGTTCTTCACCTATTCAACATCCAATTTAATTGTATTCTGTAGTATTTTGTATAACCATAAGTTGACACATTGCTGCCAAGATGTTCTAATATTTGATTATTAGCTGATTTAGGCCAAATTGTTAGTCATCTTGTTATTTTTTGCAGTTAATCTAATAACACAACAGTGATGATTTTTTTTTACAACTATTAAGTATTTTCCCGTATGAGTGAGGTGGGAAATGGTTCGAGAGACTGTCATTTAATGGACAGGTGGCCAGATGACGATATATAATTTGTGATAAAGGCATTCCGGTTGCCTCTGAGGATTCACACCTATGAGAGATGTCCGTTTCAGTTTAATGTTGAATTCTGTTGATTAAAATTAATGTTTTTTACAGATTTGTGGTGTATGCTGTTAAAAACAAGTGTTAATGTTATTGATTTTTTGTTGCCTTTGAAAATATTTGCAATTCATAAAGCACAACAATTTAATATTACATGTTAAAAAACTGACTCATCAGCTCTTACAAGATGTTTATTATCTTTCAAAATAAATAAGATGTAATAATACAAGTTACCTATACAGTAGAATGTCGATTTAAAGCGATTCAATTTAAGATTATTGACTTAAAGCGACACCCACAATTAAGGACAATGTTTTAATTTAAAGCGAATCTTTCCTATTTTGTACGAGTCAATCTGGCGCATCATATTTTAAAATTTGCATCTACTGTTTCTCTGGGCACGCTACACTGTCCTAAGGGCACAGCTGTACTGTACATGTACTAATGTACTAAATGATTACTTAAATATTTGTCTAGTGCAAACAATAGCATGTTTATATTCAAATTAATCACTATCTTAAAAGAATCTCAGGAATGTAAATTATATTCTCCCCAGTCACTTCTGTGACACTTTATAAACAAAAAATAAAAACTCAATCTGAAGGATATAAATAAACAAATAAATACTTCTGCCCACACAGGGGAGGGGGGTTGGGTTGTGTGCCTCTACCAACTGACCTTTAGCAACAGGTGCCAAGGGTCAGTCTGGAGAGACAACACATCCCAGCTGAGCTGCGATGTTCATTATCTTGTATAATTTTTGCCTTTTTATGCTTCCATTATTTTTCCTAAACATTCTCTGTTGAAATCAAATTGATAATCAGTGGCAAAGAGGATAAAGTATACTTACAGCAGAGGTGGTTGTGTGGTGTGCACTTAAACTGAAATAGGCCGAGTCGCCAGATGCACTATTGATACACTACCCACTGCTTCCACACTTACTATAACCTCCCACACAGAATACACACCCATCGGTGCAGGGTGAGATCGACGAGTTCCGAAAAGATACACATACAGTGTGATATGTCGGGAAGGTTGGTAAGTGTATCCTCATAGCCCCCCCCCCCTCCACTAGGTGTTGCCATATGGCTGACAATCAGGGCTGCCAACATACGGCTGGAACAACTTGCCTTTCCCAATACCTATCGTCACTGGTCTCAAATTGTTCACACTACAGTATGCACCGATACTTTTTGTTGCGAGTTTACATAATGGGTAGAAAAATTTATATATACCCCCTTTAGTTTACCTTGGCATAGGTGGTGATGGTGCAGTGTTGGTGGTGGCACCTCTTGTTCCAGGCTCCACTTGGTCATTTTCAGCTGTTATGGTACAGTTTAATTTTTCAAAGTTTTGTTGTAACATCTCCTGTAACAAACAAAAATTATATTTACTAAAAGTAACTAAGTGAAGATACGTTAAGTTAGGTCAGGTTAGCATTAGGGTGTTCAATATAGTAATCCAGAAGGAATAAGCTGGGCCTAATCTTCATGTTATCCATTCTTTCATCTGAGGTTCTAACTATGGCCAGTAATGAACGTCAATGACTTCACAAGTTGAGCAAAATTTAGCCAAGTGACATAAACAGAGGGCAATGTTTGGGCATTCAATTTACATATTGAAGTAAAATAGAGTTAAGCTTACTTCAAAGTTACGACTATTTTGTAAAGATGTATTAATGTGTAGAAAAAAGTTCACCCAATTCCGACAATTCCTTCTGGTGGTAGCCATTGTCTACACCTTTACCTATTTTATTTAAAGGATCAGGATTAATGGTACAGAACTTATACAGGTTGTCAACAGCGAACAATGGCGAAGTAGGAAAATTTTCACGCGTGACTCATTAAAGGCAAGAAAAAGATTTCTATCGTTACAAATGATCCTAGACACGTACTTTTAATGCCATAACATCAGTACTGTATTCGCCGTGTTTTTACCCCATAATTTCCCTCATCCTTCATGCCCCGCCCACTAACAAGGGATTTATGATCGTAGGATACGAAAAAAGTCTTAAAAAATACTAAAAATCATAATAGAACATTGTCGTTTCTTTTAATATACTTAAAATCATCAAAACAATAAGTATTATAGGAAAAAAAAAAAAAAAAAATCGACAAACAATTTCTGGCGGTAGTCATTGTCTACACCTTTACCTAAAATAAATACAGTAAGCATCTTTATTAACATTACATTACATTTATACCGGTCTTTTGTTTAGTTATTAATACATCTCTCTTCTTCTCATATCTATATAGAGCCAATAAATGATGTGTGTCATATTTTTAGTTTTACATGATCTTTTAGACTGATTCTATTCTCTTTTAATTGTTGTGGATACCATTAACAGTCATCACAATTCTCTATTAACTGTCTCTCCTCACATTTATACGGATCCCCCAAGAGGGATGGGGGATTACATTACGTGAAACACCGTCACTTGAACTTGACGGCGAGGTGCATAGGTTGTGATTATTCATATCGTGATTTATCAAACCTAGTTCTTGATGAATCTCAATTGATATCTTTCATTTGTGACCAAGGGGTAATTAAGAACACTTGTTGAAAATGTTCCAAATGTGGAAGAGACTTACATATTAAAAAAAAAAAAAAAAAAAAAAAATTCAATGTAATACGCGATCCTACGATTATGTCCACAGACGCCATAAAATTGTATAAACTTCAAGAACATAAGAACGGAGGAAACTGCAGCGGGCCTATTGGCCCATACAGGGCAGTCCCATTTACACCCAACCCCTATCGCTCATATATCCATCCATCCTATGTTTGAAGCTATCAAGCGTATTCGAGTTAATGATGATGTTTGGTAACTTGTTCCACTCGTGCACTACTCTATTTCCAAACCAATGACTACCTACTTTGCGCCTAAATCTAAAATTTTCTAATTTAAAACCATTGTTACGAGTTCGTTCCTGGTTGGATAGTCTGAGTACCTTTGTAGTGTCACCTTTGTTTAGCCCCGACTTCCATTTATACACCTCGATCATATCGCCCGTCACTCTACGTTTCTCAGGGGAGTGCAAATTAAGATGTTTTAACCTGTCTCTGTACTCATGGTCCCTAATGGCCGGGATTAGTCTCGCCATTCATCTCTGAATTCTTTCTCGGGATTCTATATCCATTCTGTAGTCGTGACCAGAATTGAGCTGCGTAATCCAAGTGAGGTCTTACAAGCGCATGGAATAATTTTATGATGACCTTGATAGTCTTGTAACTAACACTCCTTTGTATGAACCCAAGTACTTTATTAGCCTTGTTTCGAGCAAATACACATTGTTTACTTGGTTTAACATTCCTACTTATCATTACTCCTAAATCTTTCTCAGTCGGATTTCTCTATAACATCGTTGTTCATCTGGTACTGTGTGTGGATTTTCTGTTTACATCTCCTAGACTAAGTTCATTACATTTGTCCACATTGAATTTCATCTGCCATTATTTAGACCATTCGAAAAAATTTTTAAGGTCTTTGAAACTTTTTTACGTTTCTGTAGATAAATAGTGTGAAAATGGTTGAAATTGTGCATATACAACAATAAGCACACAGTTCACTTTTAAGTGAGGACATGAGCTATATCACCAATGCATAAGAAAATATTTGACACAAAATGTGATTTCCATCAACTTTTCACCAGCGCTTCGAGGCGAACATCACCAGCC